TTGCAGAACCTCGTGGGCCTTTATAATTAGTCTACAATTCAGAATGAGCTTTCACTGGGCACTTACTAAGTGCCAGGCCCTTTAGTAAATCAACTTATTGAATTCACACTAAATTCTGTTACGCCATTGTTTTCTGCAGGTGATGGTACTGAAGCTTTGAGAGGTCAAGTTGTTCAAGGGAACCCAATTCCAGATCCAGAGGCCACATACAGTTTCCCCAAGAGGGCAGAGATTAGGCCTTCCCCGTCTCCTCATCCTCCCTCAGTACCTGGCACAGGACATCCCATCTATGCCACGTACTGACATTGATAGGCCAACACACTGAACCATTGAGTGACTACAGCTTGTGTCTCGGCTAGGCTAGTGGTTATTTTCAAGGCTGCTTTATGCAGCGTGGTTCAGGCCATTTAAGCCCCCAGCTCAGAAATGAGCTCCAGCTGGTGAGCAGGCCAAGTGCTCAGGGAATGGCAGTTACTTGATGCAGTGGGCAGCTGTCAGGACCCAGTTGTTGTTTATCAGGGTCCCTCCGCAGGTGTGGTACCAATTGCCATTGGAGGTGTACTGCACGGAGACCTGGGGAAAAACACAGGAGCTCCGTGGCTGTGGCTGAAAAAGCAGGGCCTCCCTGCACTCCAGTTTCCCAAGAACAGGGCTGAGACTAGGGTAAGGGGGAGTGAGGCACTCACCTCAGGTGCACAACTTAAGGGGGCACCCAGAACCTCAGATGTCACGATAAAAAACATGTTAATGCAATCTATATTAAAACCAATCAGGCCAGGCATGGTGGCTCATGCCTGTAATGCCAACACTTTGGGCGGCCAAGGAAGGAGGATCATTTGAGCCGAGGAGTTTGAGACCAGCCTGTGCAACATGGTGAAACCCCATCTGATAAGGTTTGGCTGTGTCCCTACCCAAATCTCATCTTGAATTGTAGCATAATCCCCATGTGTCGTGGGAGGGACCTGGTGGGAGGTAATTGAATCGTGAGTGTGGTTACCCTCATGCTGTTTTCATGATAGTGAGTTCTCATACGATCTGATGGTTTTATACAGGGCTTTCCCCCACTTTCGCTCGGCATTTCTCCCTGCTGCCGCTGTATGAACAAGGATGTGTTTCCTTCCCCTTCTGCCGTGATTGTAAGTTTCCTGAGGCCTCCCCAGCCATGCTGAGCTGGGAGTCAATTAAACCTCTTTCCTTTGTAAATTACCCAGTCTCAGGTATGTCTTTCTTAGCAGTGTAAGGAAGGACTAATACATTGTATCTACAAAAAAAAAAAGCCCAAATTTAGCCGCTGGGTGCGGTGGTGCATTCCTGTAGTCCCAGCTACTCAGAAGGCTGAGGTGGGAGTATTGCTTGAGCCCAGGAGTTTGTGAAGCAGCCTGGGGACTATAGCAAGAACTTGACTCTACCCAAAAATTTTTAAAATAAAATAAAAATTAACTGTGAGTGGTGGTGCACACCTGTAGTCTCAGCTACTCAGGAGGCTGAAGTGAGAGGATTGTTTGATCTCAGAAAGTCTAGGTTGCAGGGAGCTGTGATTGCTCTGTGCTCAGCCTGGGTGACATAGCAAGGGCCTGTATCTGCTCTGCCCACCCAACAAAAAGCAACAACAAAATTAACGCAAAAAGTCTGGGATAGAAAAAAAAAACATATAGACTATTAAAAAATAACTATTCTGCCTGGAGTGCTACCTTATGCCTGTGATTCTAACACTTTGGGAGATAGAGGTTGGTGAATTGACCTGGGGTCAGGAGTTTGAGACCAGCCTGGCAAACATGGTGAAATCCTGTCTTTACTAAAAATACAAATATTATCCAGGTGTGATGGCGTATGTCTGTAATCCCAGCTACTCAGGAGGCTGAGGCAGGAGAATCACTTGAACCCGGGGGGCAGATGTTGCAGTGAGCTGAGATCGTGCTATTGCACTCCAGCCTGGGTGACAAGAGTGAGACTTCATGTCAAAACAAAAACAAAAAACCCCCAAAAAACCCTGTTCTGAACATCTTTCTGCAACTGGATTGGTTGGGATCTTCCCCTCCTTGGGAGCTCTTTC